GCCTCCCAAACGACAACAATTACAACTTTGACCCAAGCACCGATGAGTTCTATCAACCGAGGGGCTAGAAGGTACCTTGGAGATCGACATTGGTTCGCTCATGGGCATGGAAGTAGACAACGAAATCGATGAGGACGAGGGTGAGGAGGTGCAGGATGCGGGGACTTAAGAATGCTTGGCGATGGCGGATGCTGTGGCGATGGAGTTGTCCGGGAGGAGGTACATGATGATGACTATGGAGCGATGAGGATGATGATGATGTTGATGACTTAAGGAGCTCGACAATATTGATAGCGATGGCGGCGATAGTGATAGAGATGACGACTCCACGCCCGAGATATTGCCGTTAGCGGAGATAATTACGAGGCCATGTAATACTATATTGTTATTATTATGTTCCTTTACAAGTACTTGTCATTTATTTATGCTATGAGTTTTGTTCTTTGTCATTGCGGGCACTCGACAAAATGCAGCGGACGGCGGCGGTGGCGCATCAGATCGAGCAAAGACGCTTCGGCATACCGAGTCCCCACAGGAGACCGCCGACGACGACGAGGAGGAGGAGGAGGTGTTAGTCGTGGGTCGTCAAAGAGGGGGTCCCAGCCCCGGTGAGACGTCGCCCAGCGACCGAGAGGTCTTTGTTTCCTCCCTCGCAGGGGGACGACATCAGCGTGACGACGAAGGCGGCGGCGGCGACGAACAGCGACGACGACGACGACGACGGCGGCGACGACGCGCCTACACCAAAGCGAGACGGCGGACGCGCGCCTACACACTGTGTGACGACGCAGCTTCCTAGGGTGCGGCCGCAATTCCACTGGCCGCCGGTGATCACACCGTGGTGGCGTAAGTAACCATTATTGATTTCACTACTTGTTCATATGACATGTCAAAATCGAGGCGAAGACTAACAATTGTTCTTAATGACTCGTGCGGTTCACGGAAGATTGTGAGTGGAGCAGGTCAAGCACGCCATATCAATGGCATCCGGGGCCTCGATTGAGAGTACTACCAGCCGCAGCGTCAACGCTAACGCGAGATGAAGGTGCCCACCAAGTGGTCCCACTTCTACCTCATCGAGGCGGGTGGCGAGACCATCGCGGCAAAGATAAAGAGGGAGTTTTGGGTGAGTCTTTCATCGCACCGCATTGCTAAATAATACGCATTCGTCGGACTTCTTGCAAAAAAATGCTACATGATGTGTACGTGTGCAGGACTTCTTCACGTGCGAGGAGGTAAAGCGCCCAGCGGCGCGCGAGTGCAGGAGGCGGTGCGCGCAAAGATCGTCTCAAGGGACTGTACCATGCACCATGAGGCGCATACAGGCCATCCACGACTTCCACGTAACGTGCTTGGAGAGAACATCAAGAAGCCCCAAATCCGCCAGAGAATGAACTCGAGGGAGGCCGACCTCACCCAAGCGCAATACTGGCGGGTAATTAAGTATGACAACATTCGTTCGATTCCTTGGTGAAACATTACACTAATCTTCTCGCATGTCAAATACTTGATGTCATGCGGGTGTGTCCGTCGTGGTGCGACAACCACGAGGAATCTTTGGGACGGAGATTGTGCGCATGTGGCGCCTGCGGATGAGGCGTCTGCGAGGCGCGCGCCGACCGTCGAGGCCACCGCCCAGCAGATGAATCGAGGGGTGTCACACCACCAAGGGAATCAGCCCCTCCCGATTCGCGACAAGATGGGTATCGTCCGTTCATGTCTTAATCCTTGCGCTCAATTGTCAATACTTGTAACCATGTTTGTGTTTTCAATGCGAGCCTTGAGACGGTACGGTGGGCGGAAATCAACGAGTACACCGCGTACCTCTCTCTCTCACAAGGGCAAGGTGGCGGATCCGAACAACATCTACAACCCGGAGGACGGGCCCGATGCGTCGTACACCAACCCCACCGCCTATGAGAAGGCCACCGAGTACTCCGTCGCGGCTCGCCCGGCCCACTGGGAGACGTTCGACCCCTTCGCCGAGCCCCACGGACACAGACCTCCTGCGAGAGGTTGGGACGAGGAAGCAAGACGGCCGCTACTACATGGCCCCTGGCGCCCTCGACCCGTCGAGTTCCCGCTGACCCGAGTTCGATCCACGCCCACGAGCTCCAGCGACATCCCAGAAGCGCCCGGCGGCGATCGGCGTCACGGTAAGTGCCGTTTCGTTCGTCGTTCACTTTCGTTTCACTTTGTACATACAATCAACACTGCGGATGTAATATTATTACAGGCCCAGATGGAGGCCAAGATGGAGGAGAGGATCGTCACGTTGCACGCAGCAGATGATGGCGCAGCAGATGGCTTACCAAAGCAAAGCTGCAGCGGCACTACAACACTCGGGATGCGAGAACATGGCCAGCTTCTTCCGGTCCATGCAGACGCCGGGCGTCTACACCGCCTCCTCTTCCAATGTTCGCTCCACCGCCTCCTCCTCCGAGTTTTTTTCCTGTGCACGCTCACGGAGGGACCCGGTGAGTATATTGACTCTTGCTTTAACTTGTGCGTCCATGCTGCAGAGATACTAATGACATCACTTGGCGTTTAACTTGTGAGAGTACGGTCGGCGGGTTCGAACCCGTCTCACGGAGGTCTCGGCCATCGATGATGTCGTATCCACCACCTGCACCCTATCCACCGTATCCACCTCGCGTGGCCCTCCTCCGGCACTACGTCGTGGCGGCCGGTGCGCGGAGGGTGGCAAGCGCTGTCTGTATGGCGCCTCGATTTGGTCCAAAGGGGTTTCCGTGGGCAAACCACAGGGGGCTCTGGGGCGGGGCAGACCGACGAGACCGGGGACGGCGCGACGAGCTAGGTATTTGTCGATTCTTCATTATCATGTATCCACCGTATCGTCGAAGTTGTTGTCATGTATTTCTTTTCTTCGTTATGGACCTAGACTTGTTATGTTGAACTTCGTGTGATGGACATCGACTTGTGGTGTTCGACGTGTTGGACTTCATGTGATGGTTGTAATGCACTTGTGTGGTTGTTATTGTGACATATATGTGAGATATATGTGATGTTGTGCGTTATTGTGATATATGTGGTGATGTTGGCGACAAATGTGATGAAATTGTGATATAAATGGTGCTACTACGGTGCTTACGGTGAAATTGGATTATAATTTGTGATTTTGCGGGGTTTTGATGCGAGAAAACAGAAAACAAAAGCAAAAAAAAAATTCCAGCTTTTTGATTGTTTGCGATCGGCAAAGTCTGAGCAAAAACCCAGACGAGAGTCTTTGCCGGCGCAATGGGAGGCAATCGGCAAAGAGGTCAAACCTTTGCCGATTGCAACTCCAGCGATCGGCAAAAGAACATTCAAAAAAAATAGTTTCTTTCTTTGCCGACCGCCGAAGTTGGCGGCGGTCGGCAAACAATTTTTTAAAAAAAATTCTTTGCCGACCGCCGAGGAACCAAAGATGATCGGCAAAGCCTCGCCGTCGGTCGGCGCGCCACGCGTGCTATATGCCGATCTTTGGCGTGGCGATTGGCAAAGGCTTTGCCGACTATATGTGCCACGTGGCGGTCGGCAAATCCGCCTTTGCCGACCCAGGCTTTGCCGACTGCTCTTCTTTGCCGACCGCCACGTGAGCTTTGCGGTCGGCAAAGCCTTTTGCCGACTGGTTTATGCCTTTGCCGACCGGGCAAGCGATCGGCAAAGAGGCGTTTTCCTGTAGTGACGCCGTTCTTTGTGGCACGGTTCCGAGAGGCGCTGTTCTACTGCTCGGCGATGTTTGACATGCTGGACGCCACGGTGTCACGGGACAGTGATCTGCGCTTGGCGGTGGAACGTGACCTCATCAGCCGGTGCGCCCAGAGACGTATAGGCAGTGGCAGGCAAGGAACCGCAAGGCAGGGCTGAGGCAGCTGCCGTTTTTTTCCAAATGCTGAGAAGATCCTGAGCGAGAAGATGAGGAACGAGTACCACAAGGACTTTGTCATTGACGTCGAAAACGATTGGCTTCTACAAGGCTGGAAGGGCCGCATACTTTACGCCATGTCCACGTGGGCTGCAGATGACACCATCTCAGAATTGTCGTAGCTGATTGCTGAAACTTTAACTGTTGTGTATTCTGCTGTTTGGGAAGAGTTGCTGGCCAAAAGACCCGCTTGGTGCGGTGACAAATTTTATGAACTTTATTACACTGTTGTGATGGTTTCTGAACACAATGAAACAATTGTTGAAAGATACAAAGACATAGAAAACATTTTTTATTCAAATAACTTTTCAAATGATGATTTAGAGAATAAAGTTTAGAAAGACTCATAAAGATGCTCTAATAGCTTACCTATATGGTGTACATAGCCATTTATATTTTATATCTTTGGCTAGCGAGAAATCCGAAATAAATGATAACAATATTTAGAGACTAATTAGAAAAGCTATTAAAGAATATATATGTTTTTATCAGAATCTTTATTCTTATTAACTAGGAATGATATAAAAAGGTTTTTAGAGTTGCTCTTAGTGCGTTTGAAACCTCATTTGGTCTCGTCTTCTTTTGTCCCTTGCTCCACTGTAGTACGTCTACGGATGACAAAAATAATAATGCAGTTCCGGTCGCAGTCGCATCTGGCTGCCTAGCTAGCTTCCCAGAAACTTCTCTTCTTCAGCTGCTCCTCTGTAGTTTGATACGTCTAGCTAGCTTGCTGTCTAGAGGCTTGCGTCGTCGTCAAATCAAAGGTTTGATTTTTATGCACCCTCCCTCTCTTTCCATTATTCCATTAATTATTCTCATTTCGTTTTTCATCACGCAATGGAACGTCAACAACCACAGTGAAGTGATGAACACGAAAACCCCGGTGGCTGGACTCGTCGTCCACCAACTCCCTTTGCAGTTTAAAGGTTCCATCAAAGCTTTGCTTTTTATGCACTCTGACCCACCCAGCAACAGCAGGCCGACCCTCATTCTGTTTCAATCCTCCTCTTGATCTTCACCATGCGTCTAGCATCACCACTCCACGAGTAAGCAGCAAGTGAGCTACGTAGCCATGGCATCCGAATCTGCAGGGTACATCGCCGACCCCGATGAGCAGCCCTTCTCTCCCTCTGTTTTTCTTAACCTGCCCCCAACTCCTCCCGATGATGGGCAGGACCCGGTGGTCTCGTCAGACGACCTCGTGATCCCCTTCATCTCACACATACTCATGGACGACGACAACAAGCTGTCGTACCAGTGCCCCGATCACCAAGCGCTACTCCAAGCTCAGCAGCCCTTCGCTGAGATCCTATCCGACACCACCACCACCACCAATACCAACGTAGCGACCAGCACCTTCACCGTCTCGCCCTTCTTCCCCAATAATGCCGTGTCCGCGTTCGGAACCGCTACCTGGCCCTATGACCCAGTCGAGCTCTCCCTACATCTCCTTTCTAGGACTCCGTACCACGTCCCCGACAACGTCAGAAGAACCGGACGCGATGGCCTCACCCTAACCACGGGTGATCATGGTCGTGCCAACACCACCTTCTTGGCCGAGCAAGATAACAACTACACCACCAGCGTGGGACAATTCCGACGACAGAACGACGCAGACAAGGCAACCATGGACATGCTCAACCAGGCATTCCGCAAGGGTATGGAAGAGGCCAACAAGTTCTTGCCCACCACCAACATGCTCCCCATCCACTGAGAGGCCATCTCTGGGTCGTCTAGGGAGCACCTGTCTAGAGACAGACACAGGATTGCCGATGGACAAGTGAAGGAGAAGGGGATTGTTGATGGGATCACGTCATCATCAATGTTACAAGAAAGTGGTAGCGATAGCATAGCCTGTAAGAAAGACCATAACCGCTGGGACGACTTGGAGGTCGAGATGGACAGAAAAATGGCGGACTTGAGCATTATTGCCGTGATAGCACCAGAGTCAGATCAAACCAGGGAAAAGATAGACAAATTTGTTTTGATCAAGTACCAGTCATTACTCGACAAGATGATCGCCGTGGACATGGAGGCTGAGAAGAATGCCAACAAGGGCAAAAGGAAGTCCGTAGCGGTCACGAGCAATGAGCCTGCCGTCGACTTGCGCGCCCTGCTCATGCACTGTGCTCATGCCGTGGCCACAGGAAACCGTCTTTGTGCCACCGAGCTGGTTTACAAGATCAAGCAACATTCCTCGCCAATGGGAGATGCCACACAAAGGTTGGCACATTGTTATGCTCAGGCGCTAGAAGCACGTTTGGATGGCATGGGAAGCCAGTTGTACAATTCACTCATGGTGAAGCAGCTCACCTCAGCTAATGAGTTCCTCTTCCTCAAGGCCTATCAGCTCTGCGTGCCAGCTTCTTGTTTCAAAATGATGGCGTTCATGTTCTCCAACCTAACCATCTTGAAGGCAGTCGCCGGTAGGGCTAGGAGAAAAAAGGTGCACATTGTGGATTATGGTGAGCATTATGGGTTCCAGTGGCCGACCCTGCTTGGCAATTGGGCAACTTTGGAGGAAGAAGGACGACCACTGGAGGTGAGAATCACCTGCATTGTCCTTCCTAAAACCGGGTTCCATCCGGGAGCTCGAATTGAGGAGACTGGACGCCCACTCAGCAACTTTGCTCGTCGGCGTGGCATCCCGTTCAAGTTCCGCAGCATCGTGGCAAAGTGGGAGACGGTATGTGCTGATGACCTCAACATTGAACCTGATGAGGTACTAATTGTCAATGGCCTAGCTGATTTTGGGAGGCTGATGGATGAGAGCGTCCACAACATAGATAGCCCAAGCCCTAGGGACATGGTCCTCAAGAATATTCAAAACATGCGTCCTGATGTGTTCATCCTTTTTATCGAGAACAGCTCATACAACACACCCTTCTTCTTAACACGCTTCCGGGAGGCACTGTTCTATCACTCTGCAGTGTTTGACATGATGGATGCAGTGGCGCCACGGGACAACAACGATCGCATATTGTTTGAGCAGAACCTCCTTGGACGACATGCTTTTAATGTCATCGCCTGTGAGGGCTGGGATAGAGAGGCAGCTGCCGTTGGACGCTGATATAGTTAAGGCTGTGAGTAACAAGGTCCGCGAGAACTACTCTAGGGAGTTTGTAGATGAGCAATGGTTCCTACAAGGCTGGAAGGGACGCCTACTTTATGCCATGTCCACATGGGTTGCAAATGATGGTATCTCAAGTCTTGGCTAGCGACACAGAAATGTCGTCTTTGTAATACATGTGACATGCTTAATTAATTAGGCTGTACTAGGGTCTCTCTGCTACAGAAATGCATGCCTACCATTGCAAAAACATACTCCCTCCGGTTCTCTAAAACAAGTCGTTTTGAGGTTGTCTTAAGTCAAACATTTTAAACATTGACTATAAATAACTTCTTTTGGGTTGAGTTTGAAAATATGAAAGTGATATGAGTAGATTCATCTTGAAATGTAGTTTCATAAAAGTATATATTGACTATATTTTATAAATATTTTATAGCAAAAAGTTGCAGTCAAAGTCGTTTCTTAAAGACCGTGTCGATATTCAAAACGACTTGCTTTAGAGAACCGGAGGGAGTATATAGCAGAGTAATATGTTTTTTTATCTCTTTGTAACACAGAATATGTTTTTGCTATATATGTAATATGTTTGAAAAAAGGCGCAACGGTAGGCTAGCCAAGTAATATGTTTTTTTATCTCTTTGTAACACAGAAATATGTCTTTGTAATATGTTTTTGTTTGGAGAGAAAAATCACACGGGATCTCTCTGCTATATATGAAGAAAAATTCTACGGACGTGCCATTGTACTAAAGTACATAATAAAGAGATAAAAGGAGGGAACACATATTTTATTCATATTGGATAAAGAAATACAAATATAGTTCCTGATACATGTGCGCTCCATAGTCTGCTGGTAGCTATCTGACATGCGTGATATGGTCTTCTAGCTACTAGGGTCTCCGAAGTCTCCTGGTCAACTACATGCACAAGTCAACTCATGGATCACCTGAAAAACTCACGCATCTAGCCAGAACTTTTGGATGTCAAACGGGTTCCTACCCATTCACCTATCTGGGTTTACCCATGGGATTAACCAGACCGAAGGTGGATGACTTTCTGCCACTCATCAGCAAGTGTGAGAAGATGTTAAACTACATCTCCCCCTTCCTCAGCCAAGCTGGCAGACTTGAACTCACAAATTCAGTACTTTCTTCTATGCCAACTTACACAATGTGCTCAATTGTACTACCAAAAACAGTGATAAAACACATTGAAAAATAGAAGGCATTGTCTCTGGAGAGGGGCAGAGGCAAGTGAAAAAAGGTGGCAAAAGCAGCATGGCCAATAGTTTGCACTTCAAAGGAGGAAGGTGGACTGGGATCGAGTTCTCAATCTCCAAACTCATAACGAAGCTTTGATCCTTAAGCATCTACACAAGTTCTTCAACAAAAGTGACTTACCATGGGTAGAATTGATTTGGGATAAGTATTACAGAAATGGAAGATTGCCAAATATAAATGCCCCCAAAGGCTCCTTCTGGTGGAGAGATGCTCTGAAGTTGCTAGATAAATACAACGGCTTGGCAAGTGTAATCATTTCTAGTGGACAAACATGCCTTCTCTGGGATGATCTTTGGAATCGTCAAGTGAGAAAATTGCTCTTTCCAGAACTGCACTCCTTTGCAAGAAACAAGTCATTGAGCCTAAGCCAAGCTCATAACTCTAACTCACTCTTGGAACTCTTTAACTTGCCTTTGTCAGTAGAAGCTCACTTGCAATTTCAGGAACTTCAACTTGAACTGTCAACTCTCAGGCTCAATTATTTAAATGATAAGTGGACCTACATTTGGGGATCTCCCATTTTCTCCTCTTCCAAAGCTTATAAATCTCTGTCAGGGCATTCACAAGTTGGGCCAATTTTCAAATGGCTCTAGAAAACTTCATGCCAAGGGAAGCACAAGATCTTCTTCTGGCTAATTCTGAGAGATAGACTAAGGTCCTGTTTGGTTGAGCTGTGGCTGTGGGAAAAAGCTGTTGTGGGCTGTGAGCTGTGGAAAAGCTGCTGTGGGCTGTGAGCTGTAGAAAAGCTGAAAGCTGTTTGGTTAAACAAGTATAAAATATACCTTTTATCTTTATCTCTCTTGAAACAACTATGGAAGAGCTTTTTATTCCACCAATTTCGAAAAGCAGAAAGCCAAAAGCCAAAAGCAGGGTCAAACCAGCTTTCAAAAATGAACTACGGAAAAGCAGCTGTTTCTGAAAAAGCACCCTCCAAAAGCAGCCCCTTTGGTTGGGCTTTTGGCTTTTGGGGCCAAAAGTCAAAGCCAAAAGCCCAACCAAACTGGGCCTAAGCACCAGAAACATGATGCGAAGAAAAGGAATGTACAAGAAGTAGCCGCATACTTCTACATGGCTGGAAGGGCCGCATACTTTATGCCATGTCCACGTGGGCTGCAGATGACACCATCTCATCAGAATTATAGCTGAAAACCATTTTTTTATTTCGTTTTCGTACCATATGCCTGTATATTATTTCAGTTGCTGAAATTCAACAGATGCCTTGTCTCGAGGAGCTCACTTTTGTAACAACAAACAGATTTTTGGAACTTCCCTTTGCGTCTGGAGAGCTCAAGCAGATGCAAGATTAATCATCAAGCAGCTCCTGCTCTGGCTACTCTTTTTTGTTTCATTTTGGTAGTCGTCTGCCTGCGGTGTGGAATTATGATTTCATCAGAGTGAGTAAATAAACAGCTAAATAAAAGATCGCTGAATAACTGATGTGTATTCTGCAGTTTGGGAAGAGTTGATGGCCGGGACCCGCTTAATTGGTGTGGTGACAAATATTATGAACTTTATTACACTGTTGTGATGGTTTCTGAACACAATAAAACGATGAGTAGGAAAGGTTACAGTTACAGGTGAACATATATACGTATTTCAAGCAGGTACAGTTTGGTTTTCACCCAAGGTCAAGGGTTGTTTCACTTATGTCAGCAGCACAAAAAAGAGAGAGACAGAGAGAGAGAGAGAGATGCTTGTTACTCTGTTCGCTCGTGTGTCTGCATACTAGGTTAATTACTGTATCTTAGCACTAATTGTGTGACACTTAGTAACCTGTTGCTCTGTTTCAGAGTAACCTGTTGCTCTGTTTTTATCTGCCACCACGTGTTTAGTTTTTCTTTTTCTTTTTTTCTTTTTGTCATGATGCAGACTCCTGTGATGTCCACATGGGCTGTAGATGACAGTCTTAGAATTGTAGCTGATTACTTTACACAGTTTGTGATGGTTTCTGAACACAATGAAACCTTGTGATACGTACTTCAAGCAGGTACGGTTTGGTTTTCACCGAAGGTCAAGGGTTGTTCCACTTATGTCAGCTGAAAAAAAAAACCGATATGCTTCTTACTCTGTTCGCTCGTGCATCTGCGTACTAAGTTAATTACTGTGTCTTAGCACTAATTGTGTGACACTACAGACCTTTTTATTTTAAAAAAAAAAAGAAGAGTAACCTTTTGCTCTGTTTCAGAGTAACCTGTTGCTCTGTTTTTATCAGCCACCACGCATTTACTTTTTTTTTTCCCTTTTGTCATGATGCAGACTTTTGTGATGTTGTTAATAAACGCTGTATATGTCATGACAGAGGAAGGTACATCGCTTCTTCTCTGGCCATGTTATGTACGGTTGGTTTCCATGCATATTCAGTGTTTCTTGAACATTAACATGTACAATCTTTGTCTATGTACATCCGTCACAGGATAAGTGCACATCTCCTTATCGAGGAGTCAAACTTTTTTTAAGTTTGGCTAACTATCACCCTCAGGAAGCTCTAATGCGTTTTAGTTAAACCTGATTTGTATCAGTTCTTATTTTCTTTGGAGAAATTTTCTGGTATGCTTATCAATACCGGAGGGTCCGATATGAAGACCATGGAATTTGGAGCTGATTTTTTTGTGAGTAGCTTCCCTATGATTTTCTGGTATGCTTATCGATACCGGAGGGTCCGATATACAAGGATGGATTACAACCGGATCACCGTACCTGGACTCAGACGAAGAGAACTAAACCATTGGAGAAAGTACTGAATGACAAGAATCCAAATTATACAATTTTTCTTTTTCTTTTTTTTGTCCTTTTTCTTCTTTTCCATACCTTCAAAGCAATGGGAGGGAAAGCGATGTTGCCCACCGAAAAACACCATTTTACCGGTATTTAAAACCGAAAAACACCATTTTACTTGCTTCTCAAAACACCGAAATTGTGAAGGGTAAGTTACATCAGAGAGATGCTTCTTGTTTTTCTTTTTATTGATATAATTTTTTTAAGATGAAGGAAGTATGATTTTTGTTTTGTTTTCGTTGATATATGCAGGACTCAGCAATTGTTAGAGCAAGGATAGTAATCCAGCCGGCAGCCGGCTAAATATAATGCCAGGTGTGTTAAAGCCTTGGCTTGGCTTTATCGGTGTGGCTGGGTTTATGGGTGCATGACATGCAGAGAGCAGGCGCACAGCGAATGAGATTCTTCGGTACAAAGCAAAACGCTAGTTTTCCGATCATCGTCGGCTGGGACCAGGCGTTTTAATCTCGTGGGACGTGCTCAGCGAAGCGCCGGCTCGCGTCTCTCCCTTTCATTCTCTCTCATTCAGCAAGGATTTTTCTGACGTGGACTCATATACAGCCCGCTTAGGTGTTCTTATTATACCTGCTCTTAGGCTCGGCACCTAAAATTCTGTGCAAATTTTTCCTCATGATGAGTAGAAGTGGACTGGCCACCTAAAATACAAGTCCTTTTCTTTTTTTGTAGTTATTAGTGCTCAGAAAGAATATTCAATTTGCATAATTGTGCTCATGACTCAGCACTGACGAGGCAACTAGTGTGCAGTGCAGCGAGATCACCATTTTTTTTAACATTGTTCTCTAGCAGTTGACGCAAAAATATTGCAATGTGATCAACACACAACAAGACCAAATGCTCTAAAAAGGAACAGGAGCCTCGTAGATCCGCTTAGCTTCAACACCCGGGTCCAAAAGATACTGAAAAACCCGAACGGCATGCTAGTCAA